GCATTCTTACAAAATAATGTGCCTCAAACAAGGGCCTAATATTTTCCCTCCACATTATTTCAATCACTTCTTCTGACTGTTTATCTGTACAAATAGCAAAATCTATTCTTTTATACTTCGAAAATAACATGTAAGTGTAAATTTTCACAATGTTTCATTATTCTAAATATGTATTAATTTTATATAAATTATGATTTCATTAAAAAATTATAAATAAATATTTTGAAACCAAACCCTTATTTGATCCCTATTCCTTTCAAAAAATATTTTTTTCTCATTTATTTTCAACCACACATTCTCCAATAAAATTAATATCACACGCTAACCCAAAGTTTTTCCAATAAAATTAATAAAAGAGTAATGATATTTAACTTCATTGGAATTATAACACAATGTGTGTGGTGCTAATGTGGCTTAAATAATAAGTGAAATTAAATAGATCATTTAATTTTGCCTTTCGTTTAGTCTTTTACCTAAAATCACATAGAATAAGATTATAACCCCAATGAGACTAAATAACATAATTCATTCCAAAATGCATTTTTTAGCCAAAATGTGGCTCAAATAGGGGCTAAATTAGTATTCAATTTTATAGATGGAATTGAAAACTACAGGGGGTGTTTTTTTCATGTTCTTGCTCTAACTACTTTTTTGTTTCTCTTCTTCTAATTTTGAGGTGGTGGGTTGTCGTTATATGTGCAGTGGTATGTGTGGTGTGGTGATGGTAGTACGGTGGATCTGGGTGGGCAGGGTGTAGAGGGTGGTGATGGTTTGTGTGATCTACGGTGGTGCTGCTAGTGTGGTATGTTGATGGTGGTGCAGTGGATCTGGGTGAGTTGCAGCTGGTAGTGGTGATGGTTGGTGAAATTTGTAGTGGTGGTAAAGTGCAATGATGGTGGTGTTGTGGATTTGGGATAGGGATGGTGATGGTGATGGTGATGGTTGGTGCAATCTATGGTGGTGGTGAGGAGGTGACCTTGGTTGTTTGTGGAGATGGTGGTGGTTATGGTTCGTTGAAAGTGGCAGTGGTACATTAGGAGGCGATAGTAATGGGTTGTAGATCTGAGGCGGCAACATGTTTTAGGTGGTGGAACGGGGGTGGTATGGTGTCCATTGCTAAATGGTTAAAGCATCCAACTCATAAATGGCAAATTCGTAAGTTCAATTCTATTGGATGCATGCCAATGGGTCCCTCCAATAAGTCTATTTTGATAATTTTGACCAGCTAACTTGATAATTTATGATCGAAGAATAAGTTTTAATCAATTAATTTAATAATTTATGATCAATAAATAAGTTGTGACTAATTAATTTGATAAATTGTAATTGATAAATAATTTGTTACCAATTAATTTAATAATATGTGATCGATAAATAAATTTTAACTTATCAAATTTATGATTTGTGATCAAGAAATAAATTGTGTTATATTAATTTGATAATTTATGATCAATAAATAAGGTATGACTTATAAGACTTGTGATTTGTGATTGTGGCGTTTTGTGATTGTAAATAATACATAATTGAGATCATAAATTGTATGTGTTGTGATCTAACCTATTTAATTAATAAAATTTATCTAATTACCTATTTAATTAATAGCACTTGATTTTTGAAAGAATTCCATGAGTTTGTCAAATTTAAAAGTGCATTTTTAAAATTTGGTAATTATGTATCTTTTTTCCCTTTCTAATTCCCTTAATTTTCCTTTCGAAAATTTTCGTATTTGCATCATTACAAAAAAAAAAA